GTGCAGGAGAATGAGATGGAGGAAGCCAAAAACTATCTTCGGAAATGCGCTGGCGTCCTGTTGTTGGGTTTGACGTAGATACACAAAAGGATGTAAACCCACCAAAAGTGAGGAGAGGAAACACTCCAAAGACAGAGAGGTCTGTCTCTCTGTGACTTTACGTATCAAACGAGTGTAGAAAAGCCATGGTGACACAAGGGACAAAAAGGGAGTGCCATGAGCAGTGCTTGCATTCATCTAATCAAGTTGTTCAATGAATGAAATTATAATGCAAACACTTTGCTGGTTGCTTGGCCTTATGTAAGACTTTATAGCCCATATTTAGACATTAGGGCTCAACACTAAGTTTAAAAGCGATTGCCAGGCTGGCAACCAGGCCTCAGCTTAGTCATCTAATATTTTGAGTAATTCAGATATTCTGCAATTATATATGTCAGCTTAATAACGAACATGTATACATGTGATGTGTATGCTGTACCTGCTTTGCAGCTCAAAGAGGCCGGGATACTTCAGAAATTTCCTCTTTGCTTCTTGTTGACATTCATCTGTTTTTTTGTCAGTTGAATCAATATGCACATTCATTTGCGATGTTGACAGGTTAGTCAAACCTTTCACCACAGTCGAGAACAGATGCCTGTGCGCAAGCGAGCAAACACACCAACGCACCTGCAGCGTTACCACATGCGTTACCTGTACTGTCCAGCCCGAGGCTGTTACATATCGTCTTCTTCAGGTTTAAGATGTCTAGTCAGCCAGAATGCAGGTCGAGCTGCCACAAGTGAGGCACTCACTTTCATTGTTGGGACATATAAACTATAAACTATTTTCAGATAACCCGACAGAGCTGTAGTCTCATTATCCAACAGGCTGCGCACCTCCAAAAGGTGTTAAGAGTCACGACTGAGACCAGAGTGTATTGAGACCAAAACGAGACCAAGACTTTGAGGGGTCCAAGTTAAGCCCTTGCAAGAAGAGCATGCAAACCATAGGCACTCCCCAAATTGACACCAGAATTGGTTTGGCTGCCAGCTGAACAGAAACACAGGTTGCTCCTCTATTATATACCTGACAAAGTAGCTGCTACAGGAGTGTTTGAACTTGTGTTAAACCCTACTTGCCGTTACCACGGTAACCACTGATATTGCCAAATCAAGCAGCACCGAAATCTCAAGGATTACAACGTTAAATCTATGTTCTTGTTTAAGTGGTCTTGATATAAGGCTAAGAAGTGTCTCCAGTGATTAGATAGCTACTGTGTTCCAAGCATTAGTCAGGCCCTCACAGAGGGAAACAAACTAGCAAGAGGTTTAGGCTAACCTAAGTAGTAATGTAATCAATGATCTGTCCTGAAATGGCTACTTTTAATAGGCATTGTGCGGTTCATCCGTTTTCTTCCCCCATGGTATTCATGCCAGGTTTCACCAGCTTTTGGCTCACAACTGGCACTTCCAGATCCCGGCCTACCTCCTGACTCATCTTCTTCTACTTCAGTTTGAGATTTTCAGAGAGTGACTTTCAGCAGAGTGTGAGCCTGCAACGCGTTTATCCTGCTGCTTTTTATTCGTAGGTGGGGAGCATAGATACTATGATAGAGAAAGACGTAGTAAGAACAGAGAGTTGGCTGATTCCCAGTCGAGTCGGAGCGCGAGATGTACCCCGTTAATGAACATGAAGCATCATTTGTTGTTGGCCGATAGTCTATTGAGGCTACCGTGGGTGGAAAGAACTACTCTCTCCTCCAACAACATATTCCTTCCTGACTTTTTTCCAAGTAAGTAACTTTATAAAGAAGCCCTCGCAGTGTGAATGTGTGGGACAGATGCCAAAACTGGAACTGGAAACTTTTTTTAGAAAGATTTTCTAAATTTCATTCCTTCCTGTAAAACTCCATTATAGCTGCATTGGAAATATCCTGACATAATGATGTTGCATTATCTATTTTCAGGCCGTTTGCTGCAGGAGTCAGTAAAATCAGCCAGCAAATAAAAATGTATCCAGAGTTGCAATGGCATCCGTTTCTAATCTGTTGGCTGTGGCCCTCATTAGGCAGTATGGATAGATGGAAGGAGCTAAAGTATCACGGCTTGAAAGCCCCTTGACAGTCAGCATGACGCATACAGAGTATGAGTTTCCTATATAAGTTGAAATTTACCTTTCTTTTTCCTAATATCTGACAAAATCAAACATATAATTGTTAAGCACAGAGGCAAAACCTGGATGTTTAGATGAAGTTCACTTCCTTTCTTGTCTAAAATGACTTGACTCTCGCTTGCTTGTCTGTGTGATACTCTCCCAACCCCCAAAGGGCTTGCTGCAATTTACACATTCCTGAAATCCTAAATCTTGCAGAGTGTCAGACGGTCAGCAGAATCTGTGGTGCACTTATTACATAACAGCGTCTCACTTTACCCCGACCCTACCAGTCTGAGAAAACAGAGCCCACGGAAGAAGCACGGCACACGAGAGCGCCGCATAATGCTCTCATAACAATCCCCGTCTCATCCTGACTGGCTGGATACAAGCCATAACACACAGAGCTAAAGCGCTCTCTGAGCAGCGAACATCATTTACAGCAGCTATTTACAACTAAAATGATTGCATTGTTGACTGTCTGGTTCACACACACACACACACAGTGTACCTGGAAACTGGCACCACCCTTGAACACTCTCTAAAACCCTGCTGAAATGGCATTTTAGATGTTGCATAACGCTTGGCACCCAGACCGCACAAAGGCAGACTACAAACCCTGGAGTCAGATTACACCAAAATGTCTCATCTAGATGTGCAGATGTTTAGGAGTAATTCAACAAGTGTACTCTGCAGTAATGTCCTGCGTATATCTGAGACAGCTTAGCGTCTTTAGAAATGGCAGATTTAAATTCCCGGAAAGCCCTGCCCTCACAGACGGGTAACTGACACCAATTTGAGTTTTAATTACTGGTTAAGTGTATTTAAACACAACGGGTGTCACATTTCTAGATCAACTCCCGTCTCAGGCTGACTAATCTCCTTAACATTAGATGCTGCTGTGCGAGCTATAACTCTCACACAGGCAGATGGCCTCTTCAGGTCTGGAAAACCAAAAGCAATTCCTTGTTTACTCCCGAGACACACTTGTGTGATTGCAACAGAATGCAACATGACATCCTAGGAATCAAGCAGCAGAATGTATTTACAGTGAAAAGCAGAAATATTGCAGCTACAAGCCCTGCTGTACTATTTTCATCCATAAAAGAAAACTACAAATCTGTCAGGGGGCTCTCTTTTGCAGAACAACAGTTTGAAGATTGCGCACAAAAAAAAAAAAAAAAAAAAAAGGGGGCCCAATCCAAAGCTGAGTCAATGCAAAACAAATCCAGTGACAAACTCTCCTGGAATCCGAATATCTGTTATGTTTACCAAAGTGCCTTATCATCACCATCACAATAACATAATCAGCAGAGATCCTTTTCAAAGCGCAGCAGTAATATGATTCAGTACACGGCGATGCCAAAAGGTCAGGCAGCCCCGTGAAAGGCTTAGCTAAACAAGTGTTTACTGAGAGAGGGCCTGGGCTTTGTGAGGCCGTCCCCTCCTTGTCTAGATACAAAGTGCGCTTCATGCGTGCCCGCCTGAGAACGTACGTGTTTCCGTTTACATTCAGGCTGGTGTATTCTCGACCTGTACTCCCTCTGGACTGGAATGGCACACTGAGTTCTGGGCATCCTAACTTCATTCCCTCTCACTCTTAAGTAAACTCATCTCCACTTTCCCCAGGGAACGGGCTGACTGCTGCTGCTGCTGCTGCTGCTGCTGGTCACAGGAATGTGTTGCTGTTTTGTACAAGACCAGCTTTCTCTTGTTTTGAACAAATCTGCTGCAGCAGCAGCAAAGTAGTGGCTTGATGCATTCATTCCCCCAATGGGACAAGCTCTTGCTGAGGAGAGTGGAAAAAAGTGCATCACAACATCGACTGCATGTCAGTCGAATTCGACATTCTCTAAATGTGTGTGTGTGTGTGTGTGTGTGAGAGTGAAAGTGTGTGTTTCACTTTGTAGCTCCTGTGATATGGCTAGAAGCATGAAACAGGAGAGAGATCAGTAGCGCTCGATGACAGGGATCTTACAAGCCAAGGTTCAGAACAGGGTGGACCTCAGATGTTGCATGTTGCTCAAGCTGCCCCAGGGACAACAACCAGGCACTCGAACACACAATTTTGAGGTGAACCAGTTTTTTCTCTCCACATAGTGACATCCGACATCAGATTGACTTTTTACAGGATGCTGATATTTTAGCTTTCTTAGCTGAAAATGATAGAGAAAATACAAATACGTTAGCCTACCTGAGAGCAGATAAGAAGAGAGATGAGAACACGATGTACAGGTAAGACAGACATTAGAAATGTATTTCATGTACACACACACACACACACACACACACACACACATAGCAAAACTCGGTTTGTCTAGTAGCCTGGTTCCATAGCGTTGCCTGTAATCTGACTGTACCCTGAGGGAGGACCTGCTTCTTAAAATGGAAATAGTAGGACACTGTATGACCTTTCAAAGCTCTGTTGGAGCCGTCCATTCTGAAAATGATATGCGTGGAGTTCAGAAGCAACAACTCTGCAGCTGCTGCATGTGGAACGAGCACGATTTAAGACTGTGGTGAACAACGATTACAGCAACTTTCATCAAGTGTGAGCAACAAACACAGCCCGGCGTTGGCACACATACACCAACACACTGAAGCCCCTTATTGATGTCATTTTGAAGCAGCTATACCTGCAGCCTGTGCCATGTCATGCACTACCCGTTTACCCCAAAATAGGCCAGCAAGGAGTTCACAATTAAACGCAAGACACCGCTAATAGTTGGTTAGTCGAAACGCAGCATATATATATATAGCTGTAAAAACGATGAAATGGCGCAAATAAAATGCGACAGCAGTTTATAGGCTAATTGAGACGGATCCTAGACTGCTGACGTTTACGCGGAATAGAAGCGCACGACCCTTACCTGGCTTTCTGCGATAACGCCGTCTTGATGGTGTATCCTCAGGAAAAAGGTTGGAACGATGATCTCCTGAATTGGATTAGCGAAGAGGCGGCCAACCAGTCAGGCGGAGGAGGAGGAGGAGGAGAATATCTCTGAAGGGGTGATGCCCATGTTCATTATGTGTCCCTCCAACGTCGGGGTGGAAACATTTGACCCGCTACTGTCGCCTACAGCGCGTGAGATCAGGCCCTGGCGAGACACTAACACCGACAACCATCGGCGACAAAAAAGAAAAACAGCGTAGATAAATAAGCCAGATCAGAGGGAAGCGCACAGCTGACACGCTCCAGAATCTGTTTTTGCTTGATAGTAGGTTTGTTTGCACACCGGACCAGCGGTCCGATCTCGATTACTGGCGAGTGCGCAACGTCCTGCGAAACGCAAGAGGCGTATCTCACAGCAAAGACATCCGGGGGCGGCGTGTTTACCTCTCCGCCGTTCGCGCTGCCGTGCTCCGTTGGAAATCAGCTGCTCCTCCACTGGAGGGACGCCATTTGTTCGTGCGAGGCTTCCCGTCTGCTGCCACTTAAAGGGGGGAGCTCAGCGCCGTCCTCCGTTTCATAACCGACAGCGCCTTCTGCTGCCACAGTACTGCAATCGTACCGTTGGTTTGAATTACAAGTCGAATATATTCTCACTTCCCTCTAGTGGCATAGAGCCATGCAGACACTGTAGTTTGCAGATTTTATATATTTTAATATATTATTTTCCAGATTTTTAGATTTTGTACAAATAATACATCCGTAATGCAATATAGGTGAATGGAATTTGTACCAATCACTACATTTCATTGGTCCATCCACTGTATTGGGATCTTATTTTCTTTTTTAAAACCCCCTTTTAAAAAGCAGCTGATGCAACAGTGTAGGTAGTTCCAGGACTGATCTCTTTATGTAATGTATAACCTCATGTGAAGTTTTTTGTATTTTTTATTTTGGTTTATTGACAACATTGTAATATATTCAGAGGGAACAATATATCAGAAATTAAACGATATACTTATTTTCATGTTTTTTTTCTGGTGTTCACACAGTCCACCTTTATCAAGATGTAGACAATCAAAAATATATTGCTACATGATTTGAATTTCCTGTGAAATGTCCATTTACCAACAGTAGAACAATTTGAATGTACTTTGTATATGAGCAGCTGTAGTCTACCAGGTTTGAGCAGGTAGAGACCTGTCCTTAAAAGTATGCATAACAGGACAGACCAGTCTGCTCAGCAGGGTAGACAAGTTCTTCAGGATTAGTTTAAAATCCCTTTCATTTATCAGCCATGACGTCTGTTTGACATCCTTTACTGGAACTGTACATGAGTCAGTAGGACTGGTTTCTGCTTTACTAGTTAGTTAAAATGTTACGAAAAAAATTGTTCATGAGCAATATGTAGCTATAATGACGATGTTTAACCAATTTAGACCTTTAGACTGGCCTTTAATTGGCCATAATGGAAGAGAATTATTTTTTACAAGAATTTAGGATGCTGCCACCGACCAAAATAAAATGAAATAAAACCCTTTTCATAATTATTTTCATCATAAATATGTTTATTAAATCATATTTACTCACACAAGTGTCTACAGTGTAATAAAATAATATGGTATATATATATATATACAACAATATAGATCTATATATTTCTACATATATATTTTTCTCCAAACATAAGCAGTGCACTGAGTTTTAAAAGTAACACATATACAGACAAAAACAACAAACGCAATGGATTTTCACCACTCCAGCTTCATGTCGGCTTTGCTCCACACATATTTCCCTCCTCTTTTCAGAAACATCTTTTCATCAAAGCCACTAAAGCAAATGGCCTCCCTCACACCAACATCAAGGATGGACTTGGACGGGTCCTTCCGTCCCTCTCGACAGTCCAGGAAACGCATCTGAAAAATGAAGAAAGAGTAAATCAGCTACACGTTTAGATGCTCATCAAATGTGGTAAGTGATCGAACAATTAGAAGGCAAAGAATAAAAATCAGCAATCCTAAGGGGAGTGTGTTCGGTCCATAAACAATATACCGTGTACTTACATATTCATCCAGGATCAGGTAGGAATTCCTCATCTGTGAAGACAGAGACAACCACAAACTTCAGTTATGTTAGTCTAGGGCCTGGCATCTCTTTGCTGACATTGTCACACTATTTACACGCTAACAACACCCCCGAAAGAAAATGTTCCAGTATAATTTCTGACAAGATACAGGATGAATTGGTCTCAGCCACGATACATTTTGGTCGGGCCTCAGTCCAATGAGCATGGCTGACATTTTACTTGACCACTGTGGTTGTATAACACTCTACATTTGTATACACAGAATCCCATTCTTGTTTCACTTTGTAAACTTATGTACACTATGTGGTGGATATATTTGGATGATCGCAAATGCATTTAGCCAAAAGCAGTTTTGTTTATTTGTTTATTTTTATTTATTTATTTGCTTCATTTCCACTCGTTCATTAAAATGTGACAGATTTTGGAGAGATTTGACTTGCTGTCAGTCTTTTAGAGATGTCACCTTAAGTCATATTGACAACAATCTCATACCTTCTCATTGGACTCAGGAACAAGGCAGGGCACGCTGCTGTGTCTTTCCAGAAACTCCTGAAACAGCTGCTCGCTGATGACGAACCTCTCTGCCTCTCTCAGGGCTTTCTCTCCTGCATTTTCCCCGTCAATCAGCAGACACTGGAATACCTGTGCACAGCAAGCCCAGACACAAAGGGGTGAGTATGTGTGCCAAGATGTCACACACGCAAACGTACACGCTCTCTCCCTCTCCGCCGTTACCTTCCAGCGGACCGGGTTAAGCTGGAGGATGTTCTCCGTCATGTCTTCGTCCACGTTGAAGGTGTTGATGACTGAGTTGATTTTGAACGCCACTTTGTACTGCTGGCACCAGATGCGAATCTTGTGGAGGTTGTCGATGTGGCTCTTCTTCCCCTGAGCTCTGCCAATCAGCTGGTTGGTTGCTTCATCAAAACTGTCACAGGAGATGGCCAGGATGTCCAGATCGTCACCTGGTGGAGAGAGAGAGAGAGAGAGAGATGATCATTTTTAGGATCATGCTTTAAATTTTGCATTGGTGCCAAATGCATTTTTTCTTCTTAGTCTAAAAATTTAAATTTAAATTTAATATTAAGTTAAGAAAAATTAATTTGTCCTAAGAAGTTGAGAGTTCTTCTTACCGTATTTCTGGAACCATTTTTCTTTAATCATGCTCCCGTTGCTGACAATGCTGACACTCGGGAGCTGGAGGTCCTGTTTGCAGTACTGAACTAATTTCCCTAGAAAATCTCCTTTCTCGTGCAAGAAAGGCTCTCCTCCAGAGAAGTTGATCTTCTCCATGCCTAACAAACAGAGCGATGAGTTTAACTGTATGCACGAGGTTTGACACCACACAGAGTATATACTAATAATCTGTCCAATTTACCTGATCCCTTCAGGAGTTTGAGGCCCTTCTTGGCTTCATCCAGAGGCAGGACGAAGGATGTCTTTGCAGTGTGGAAGCAGAATCCACATTTGTAATTACACTTGCGTGTAAAATGATAGTTGACACTTGTTGGAGTCATCGCATTTTGGTCTTTCCCTTGGTCCACTTTTCTGTCAACAGGTGCGGCGGATGATAGTGTTCCCCAACACACTCGGGATGTCCCGTAACACACTTTTGAAAAGACGCTCGCAAATATGAAGCGCAGACTGTCGATGCAAAGCTGCAGCAGCAGCATCGGAGACGTGACCACAGAGGAGAGTTGCATCTTCAAACCGACCGTGTAGGACACCTTGTGCAGGTTGACGCTTCCTTATATACACGTATGCAGGGCAACCCTAATCAACAGAGAAGGAAACTCGATCAGCTGAGCGACTCAGTTTCTGTTTACAAAAAGTCGAAAGCGAAAGCTGGGGGGGGCGATGACGTGCAGTGATAAAAATGTGCCGTGTGTGATAAGAGTCAGGACCTTCATGTCTTATAGGATATTTGCTATTATATGGATTTAAGCGATATTATATGCTGTTAAATATAATGGCGCGGTTGTAGCAAGGCTTTTGGTGACTTTTAAAACAGGAGCAGTCAAATGCAATTTTGTAAAGGGGTGCCTGCTGACGGTCTTTAAATTATTTCATGCCTGAGTCTGCATGTTTGTCTTTAGTCTTGAATAACATATTAAATACTCTCAATTTATTTCATTCCAACATCTAAGATGTATATCAGCCCTGGGTCCCATAATGCCCCACCTGAGGAAGTGAACACCTAATTAGGATGTCAAATTGAAACCAATACTGTGACACAACCAGCGACTGTTTACTTCTGGTGTCTCACACTTTTCTATAAACACAACTTAGAGCCACGGGTAATGTTTCTCTACTTGCACCACCCATCTGATAGCGGAGGCAAAGTTTCGTTTTCCCCGTTAAGCGCAGTAACTTTCGTTTTCGTCGTTAAGCGCAGTAACTTTCGTTTTCCCTGCAGCGGGTTTATGTCGCGCCTCGTAGTCGTTCGGCTGTCCCAGATTGGAAGCCGATCAACAGGCTACATCCGAAGAAAGAAATGGCACGGCGCACTATGTCCCTTATTCCTCAGTGGTCCTCTCGTGTTTTTTCAGTGGAGCTGAATGGAGCACCCTTCTACTTTTCAACTCGAGAGAAGCACCGGGGAGAAGAAGTGCCGCGGGTGTTCAGAGAAGTACAGAACTATGCGAGGCTTTACTCCCTCCTTGTCTGCAGCAGCGACAAAATCAGACGTGCCAAGTTTTACGCGGAGCTGAAAGACAAATTGTTGCGAGAGTTGCCGCCAGAGTGTCATTTGTCTCCCATGTCCTCTTTTCTGCCAAATGTCAGGGATTCTCTCTTAAATGGGTACTTTTTGAAAGATAATTCAGAGAGTTCATCCCAGACTGAGCGACTTTTGAGAGATGTATCACAGCGTGATCCGGTGTTTGTGTGTTCATACTTGAAATGTGAGGACGGGCAACTGTGGACTCAGCATCTGTGGCCTCACGCAGATAGCCCAACGATGGAAATGTCAAAGGATTACTATGTGGTACCCTCAGAAGCGCCAGAATATCACCCATCAACACTCAACATCATCAACTCCGATGTTTTCTACAGTTTTGAGGAGGCCTACGCAGTTCTAGAAAAGGTTATTATAAAATTAGAGTTATTTTTGTCTGTACAGATACTCTTTTTCAGTTGGGTCATGAGGAGTGTTTGCAGGCAGGTCATTGTAGAACATGACCTGCCTGTTCTACAATCATAAAAACAAACTGTGTAGAGAGATTGCCTCACTTGCAAGATATGGCAAAGTGGCACGCTCTTGTGGTAGAAGAAGATATAGGAGTGTGGCCCGAAGAGGCTCTTAATGCTTCCATTTATCTAGCAGTGCCAGGTGGCCCACAGTAGTGTGTGTGTTCATGCGCACCACAGTCTATGACTCCCTCCTGCCTCCTCTCACAGCAGCAAACTGATTTTGTCTGTTCTGCAGTGCGGTGACATCATCCCAGAGGCGATGTCTGTGCTGGAGCTGCTGCCCAGCAGAGCGGAGGCCAGACGTAAACCAGACTTCCCTGTTATTGTCATAGAGGGCCTGGATGCCACAGGTTAATGCCATTACCTCATAAATAAATATGGGATCAGTTTGATGTATAGATGTCTCGCTATGATTGCCAGTTGTTCTCTGCTAAAGCCATTATCTGCCAGTGAGCTTCGCCTAATGGAATATCATGTATCATGACCTCAGGAAAGTTACAGCACTGTGAAAATGGTTTATTGAAGAGCTAGCTCATCTAATACTCTTTGCAAACCTCATGAAACCTCAACCATGTAGCCTAGGATGGGAGTTTTAACTTCTCAAGAGTCGCTTCAGTCCCTTATTACATTTACAAAAGAAAGATATCATGAATCCTACTTTCAGTTTTCTGAAAACTCTCCCAGTCTTTGTGTTTATTCTTTGTATTCTATTGATTCTTTCCTCCCTCCCTCTCCCCATCACAGGTAAAACCACTCTGACTGAGTCTCTGAGGGATGCTCTAGGGACCTCTCTTTTATGGTCCCCTCCCCAGTGCCTGTCCCCCATGAGGGCCCGCTTTGATCGAGAGCCGCCCCTCATCCGCAGGGCCTTCTATGCTCTGGGGAACTACATCACAGCTGAACAAATAGGCCAGGAGGGCATGAAGAGGCCTGTCATCGTTGACAGGTAAAGACAGCAGAGATGTCGCAGGTGTTGTGACGTTTGCCTGTTGTGTGACCTGTTTTGAGACAGAGGGGACAATAGATACATTCCACTGAGATCTAGACCTACAATTCACCGTTAAACATCTGCTACTCCACCTGCGAGTTACCTGATCATCCATCGACCCATCGCTCACCTTTCAATCCGCCATCTATTATCTGTCCCTAGATTCTGGCACAGCACCGCAGCGTATGCCATTGCCACAGCAGTGAGCGGTCAAGTGTGCAACCTTCCAGCAGAGGGTTCGGAGGTTTACCGTTGGCCCAGTGACCTGCTCCAGCCCAGCCTTGTGGTCTTACTCACCCTGGACCAGGAGGAGAGGAAGAGGAGACTGGGGAACAGAGGTCAAGGAGAGACGAAAGAGGAGCAAGAGCTGGACCACAACCAGCTTTTCAGACTCAAGTAAGATATTTGAATTACATGTACATAACATATGTGTAGGATACATACATGTTTTAAAATACGGGGTAGGGCTAATTATTTACATTATCTACTGAATCTACTAATTGCTTCTTTGATTAATCGATGAATTGTTTTTTCTACAAAATGTAAGAAAATTGTGAAAAGTTCCAATCACAATTTCCTAAAAACCTATTGTGATGTCTTCAAATTGCTTGTTATGTGCAACCGATAGTCCAAAACCTAGAGGTATTCAGTTTACAGTCATACCAAACAGAGGGAAAAAAAGCTCTGTTTTGAGAGAAAGACCACATTTGTGTTTGAGGTCTTATTATCGAAATAGCATTTCATTTAATGGACTCATCATTACATCACAAATACTGGGATTAGAAATTGTTTCTGATAAAAATTAACTAATTTTTAAAGATTCCTTAAGTTGGCACAATGTTAATACCACCAGAGTTACCATCACAAAATATTATGAAACAAGTGAAATGGCACTGAAACAACTATTTCATAAAAAAATGTCACCTGTTTCATCAGTTTTAGGACTATAATCCACTAAACCATAAAAACTAAAAGCCTAAATCAGTTGATACAATGAACATTTTTTTAGCAGTCATACAATAAACCGTTATTGTTGGTGTTTTTGGGATTGCATTCTAGACACACTATTAATCTGACTGAGGTCCAGTATGGTAGTACTACTGTACGTTACACAGAGTGGGTAATGACAGACAGAGAGAGAAAAAACCCCACAGTAGACACACTTGGCAGTGTGACATGTGTGGACAAATGTTCTACAGTCTGTGATGAAAAAAAGTTCTCTGTGAGTGTGAAAACATTGAAACCACAGATGGGGCTACAAACCGTCTTCCCCGTTCCACTGAGTCAGGTCAGCTCAGTCTTAGTCTGATCCATCAAACACTTAACAATCAATTGCTGTCCCGTGGGGGAAGCAGCTGATGAGAAAGAACAGGTGATTAGTTGCTGAGCTGTTGTGCTCCATTAAGCTGGTCAAAACTCGCAAAGGCACTGCCTGCCCAGATAGTCGCTTCGCAGACAGGTCGATGGCTACTTTCATTCATCCTCTATCCTGACATAATGGCCTTTCCACACGGGACAGCCAGATGTTGGGCCAGCAGAATTAGAAAATGGTGGGAGTTGACTGTCTGCCGCTGAGAGAGTGAGAGATTCTGCAGACTTGGTCAATCATTATCACAAGGACTATTCTTCATTTGTCTCAGGGAATGGCTGCGCTCCGAGCCATCTGTGATGTTTCGCATACCAAAGTTTCTCACATGTTGTGCATTTTATTACTCTCCTCAATCTTCACCAAAACTGTAAGCAGTGAAAATACTGAAAACAGGATTATTCAGTGTAATATAAAGTGCCATTTGCTGTGTTTATATGCTTATTCTCGTCACTTGTTGACTAAGGTGTTTGTGTGTGTCTGCAGAGTGGAGACGGCTTACCAGAGGATCAGTGGGCCACCATTTGTCACTGTGGATGCTAGTCCTTCTGCAGACCAAGTGCTCCAGCAAGTGCTGCTTTTAATTAGGGGCAAATGCCACTTGTAAACAGTTTTCCATCTCTCCTGCTGTCGGCCAAGCATCAAGTGGGCGCAGTACCTCCTTTTACCGCTGGGTGCCAGTAAGGTGTTGTGAATGCACCAGGAGGAGGAATTGTGGCCAGATTGGAGTGTGGAGAAGAGATTATTTTCAGAATGAGTAAAGGTTGAATGGCCAGGGGCCAGAACTGCATGCTACAATCAGAAATACATATTCATGTAGACACAAACATGTATGCACTGATATTGACACACACACACTCACACACAAAACTATCGTCAAGAAGTGTGCACTTACAGTAACCACCGTTGTGACCTCTCAGAAATGAGACACAGTGTAGCCGCACTTATTGACTATCACTTGTATTTGGACCGACACGGAGGACATGGATGGCAACATTTATATAAGCACCATTGAGTTCGATTTCATTTTAGCACACAAACCAATCTCAGAATATATACATTCAGATAAATATATGTTTCAAATTAAAAGAAAATAAAACCAAGTATCTGTGTGGGGGTCTCTCCTTGAGTTAGCATGACTTACATAAGCCTACCAAAGAAGATATATACAATGTATGTGCTTACATAAGTGCATATAAACTTTCTGTGAACACAATGTTTTTTTACAATCCTGTTTTCAGTGCAATGCAGATGGCAATTCCCTGTAGTTCAACAGTGTGATATTGACACAACTGATGCCACTTGTATTGCTAACCTGTGTGACTCACAGTGGAGCTGTAGAGTACATTGAGAACATATAGTGCTGTTTGTACTTCATGTCCTCATGGGCACAGGCACTCAAGTGTGCACACATGAATGTACATTTGCACTCCTACTTAAGGAAACACACACACAGGCCTGAACATTTACTAAGAGTATATACTGTAACTCAAATAAATATATCGGGAGGAAGTGTATATTTGGCCTATGTGATGGGAAGATTAATTGGAGGTTTTAGTAATTATGAGCTTGGCAAAGCTGCGGGCTGGAGAAGACAGAGTGACCCATCTCTTTTACTGTGATGCATCAGCAGAGCGCCAACCACTGCAGACCCTATTCATATGGCAATTAATGGAGCGCTGTATATCAATGTCATAAGTGCACGGTTTACTCCTACTACCAATTACAGCAATCCAATGTTTTACTGAGTGAAGAGGTGCCGTGGATGCAAATCATAGCATCACATGTAATCACATAAACTAAAATAAGTCGTCATTATGTTTATGGTGTATGGATTCCAACGTGAGGTAAGTATCTCAGAAGGGTTTATTGAATTCATAGGCCCTCAGCTGCCTGGCGACCATGGATGTGCTGTATGACACAAAATGAATGTAGCCTAGAGCTGTGTGGAATTTTGATTGCCATTAACATAGTAGCCTCTCTTCTCAAGAGAGTCCGAAATGTATGAAGTAGGAGAGCAAAGCAATTAGGCAATACATCATACCTGAATGCAAAGCTGTGTGTGCCTGTGGTGTCAGCCATATTTCCATGTCAGATGCTATGCTTTGCTATTCTTGGCAACACAAAGTGAATGGTGATATCATGCCATGACTGCCCCTAAACACTACTCTAATATGGTGTTAATGGCCCATAACCACAGCACATTACACATGCACTGAAATGATTCTCTTTGCTTTTCCATATTGAAACATTAAGGAGTTTTTTTTGTCAGATAGCCAGAATATACTCAAGCGTCTTAACAATAACAACAACTCTCACATCGAATATTCGTGTTTCGAAGTTGCTTCCAATCTGACCTCAAACCTGAAGTTGCAAGATAAAAGTCCGAACCACATTAATGGAAAAAAAAAAGATCCGTCAGGAGGAGCTCAGCCTTACACACAAATATACAGTACACTTACACTATACACAGCACACATGCACACACACACACACACGCCTTGCCCTGTATGGGGCCACTTTGCACTACACTCCTTAACTTCAATATTTCATCTGCACAACAGAGAAGGAGCAGCAGAGAGGAGGAAAGCCCTCCATGAAATAATTAAAGATCCAGCAGGGATGCAGCAGCACAGCAGCCGCCGTCCCATCCTAAGTAATAGATCAAATGAAAGCTGTCCCTCAGATCATTAATAATGAGTGTGGAGACTGAGGGGGTAGGGGTGGAAGGGAGGGCATAGGGCTGGTACAGGTTGGGGGAGGGAGAGAGGGCATCGGGGAAGCACAAGGTGTGTTTTATGTATGTGTGTGTTAGGAGTGTGGTCGGTGGGGGGGGGTTGAATCGTAGTCTAGGTACCTTGGCAAAGACCGCAATGGGCCTCACTTGGCAGCCACATCAAGTGGCATGGCAAGAGGAGTCATGCATATGATCTGGCACCAAGTGTTTGCCAAACTCTAAAGACCCTACAGCAATATCTATATACACCCCTTGTCAAATAAACAACATTTTACACAGTGAATAAGCAGGTTAGCAGGGGCTAATAGTGCTCCCTTCAATCAGTGAGGCCTTAGAGCAGTAGCTGCATATGATCGTGTATTTTGGGAGAGCTGAGTTACCTAGACAGGCAGGGATGGGCTGTCTGCATTGGGGGAGGGGGGATAAAAGAGGGAAGAGGAGCTGAGGAGAAGGCTGGAAAAGGAGGAGAGGATGGTGGATAGATAAGGGGGGGGGGGGGGGGGGGGGACGACAGGCAAGAGTGAAGGGAGATGCTGCGGATGCTCATCTGTGAGCTCAAGTCCCTCCAGATTCCTCCAGCTGGCAGGTACAACGTATTTCCCAAACACTATCCTCACCCCCAAATACAGTATGTAGCATTTCCCAAGCAGCTTCAAATACCATCCGAGGTCTTTCCTAAATATTCACCCACCTCCTTAACATCCTAACAACTGGCAGGGTTGGTGTGTGAAGGCATTACACCAAATTGGATTAGAAAAATCTGATTAAAACAGAGTGAGTGCAAAAACACAATTCCCAAATATGTTAAGAAGGGCATTTAGAACCCATGTTTAAAATAGCCTTCTCAAGTAACCCCATATGTTGAAGGCTTTTAAACAAGACTGAGAGGATACAATCAGATTATATTGAGGTTGAGTTATCCAACAGACTAAATGAAAGTACATGATCACAATTACAATTTCTCACCCTTCTTGACCCACACTCACACCAAAATATTTCCAACTAGTCCAATCTTCTCTACAACCTCATTCCCTCTCACACACACTCCCATAGTTGCACACGTACACACACCACATGCATGCGCAGCCCTACCACCTCCCTCTGAACACAGCAGGAGGTAGCAGACACCACAGCCCTATTCCTCTGTGAATGACGGGTTGTGGGATGTAAAAACACGAAGAGTGTAGGAGTTGAACTGATCGGTGGTGAAATGTTTGTCAAAAAGCATACAGCAAAGCTCAAAATGTGGCGGAAAAGGCAAAAGTGAGGCGGAGATGGGGGAATTACTTTGTTCAGAGAAAAAATAAATAAAGTTTTGAAAATATCCCATCAAAAAGATGTATAATGTAACAGCTTTTCATCACCACGTTCACCCTTTGTCATGGTGTGTGAATACTTATTTGCAGGGGTAAAGACAGCATCTCTGTCGATAGGTGCAGGTATTAGGCACAGTGGGCTGTATATTCAGGATGCCATTATGTATTCAGGTTGTGCTTATTTTCTGATGTTTTTGGGGGATAGGTGCTGTATAGTCTGTGATGATTGCATGAAACCTCACCAGTTTTGCCTGGCGGCTGTTGGGGAGGCTTCACCAGGAACGGTTAAATATTTAAACACTGCTGTGAGATCTCATTAAAAACGGCACATCAGCCCCCATAAGGCCCCTACAGCACTCCCTCGCACACTCCCCGAAAACCCAGTTAGAACTCGGTGGAGTGTGACAAAACAGTTATTGTCTATTTACTGTGGAGAACTTGTGATAAATCATCATATCCTGTCAAATAAGGCAGCTGGCAGTAGTGTTGACAAGTGGTAAGTCGTCATATGAGGGAAGAAAATGATTGAGAATTCAGTTCTGTTTTGACAGCTGCAAACACGCAGAACTATGCCAAAAACAAAACAACATGACAGCTAGACCAGACTAATATTTCCATAACACACATATGAAACAAGGCAGAGAACAAACTTTGGCTCTCTGGAGTCTTCTTGCCTTCTCACAAAATCTGGGCAATTAATTCCAACTCTATTGTTTGGGGCTTCCCTATTTTTAGCCTGGCTGCCCTCTCAAATAAATTGATTTCCTGTGGCGAACTTGGAATGTTCCTTGTGTGCCATGTTTTTTTTTTTTTTCTCCTCCTCCAAACACAAATACCGTCCTTCTTCCCCCAGAGGAATAAATCAAAGGCAACACTGCCAAGTTCTATGCATCTCTTTTTCTACTTGAAAATGGTTTATTTTTGTTTCAGTTCCATTAATGCTTAGGCATGTCTCCTACTTCGTCTGGCATCAGCAGACAGCTGAGAAGCTATACTTGCTTGACAGGCAAGTGGCCGACTGACTCTCAAAATACCTAAACTGACTGACTCCCTCCCTCTCTCTATCTCTGGTCTTAGTCTTTGATTCGATCTCTGAGACTCAGAGGTCTGTTTTTTTGTGGTCTCTACCGCAGAACTAATGGCTGGGTCAAAACAGACTAAGCTCTCAGATCGCAAGGAGATATTTAAACACACAGCACTACACACCAATAAAAGTAGAGCAACTTGATCCTGGATCGTTGTAATGGTGTCGGGGGAGCCCCTGGTCTTTGATGAGCACTACTAAAGACAGATGCATAGCGGTTGGGGGAAGCTGCCGTTGCAGGGAAAGAAGGAATTACAATGCAGACTGAGAAAGAACGTGAGGAATATGAATCATTAAGCGGAGCAAATGTTTGCTCAACTTCAGCGGGACAACTCTGTAAATGTGCACCACGTACCGTCATATATCAAATTACTTTTTAATTTGAATGCTGTTAACTCAGTGCACCGAATGCTTGCTGAAGCTGAGGGTGTATTGTACAATTCATGAGTGCATTTTCTTAAACCAGATGACCAGGGATTTGGTGTGGCTTACGTTTCAATTTTCGGTTGTCACAGACTGCCGTGCGAGAGGTAAAGGATTGTAAAGAAGGCCTTTGGGATGTGAAAACAGATAGTGACAGAGAGAGAGAAGAGGAGTGAGAGGGGCAGAGAGACACAAATGAGCGAAACATACCACTAGATCCCAATTCCTTATCTCGACTATAAGCCATCTGAATCCCCCTACACCCATTTAGCTTGCTCACTCTATGGCTCTCCGGTGAGAGAGACGAGGCATTTGCCTACTTTACAGTCTTCTCACTGCACTTCAGAAAATTTTGAGTTTATAGCCGCTCATCTCCATAATCAACACCATATACCCAGCAGCCTACAGGGACTGCGAGCTAGCAGGGGGAAAGGATTCACACTGGCTTTAGCTCCCAACTCTTCCCACAAGTCACTCCTCCTGCCGTCCAAATAGAGTTTAGCGAGCAGTCCTCAGGGCCTGATATATATATGTACTTACTTA